CCATACCGTTTAGAATATTTCTTTAATGATTGGCATTTTGGGTCTTCACACAAGTCTTTAACTATACAGTATAGAGTGGATTCAAGAAAGAAATATTTTTACTCGATTTAGACCAGGTATTTTCTAGTTGTTCACAACGTTATATTTTCACCGCGGCACAATACAGTAACAATGGATCTCGTCTTTTACTAGCCATACCCTGGTATCTACCTGATTCAATCTGTAAATGGTGAAATTAGTCTAAATTTAGTTTAAACTTTTCCTCAGTTCAAAATTACTGATTATATTGAGATATATTAAAAAATGTGTTCGTTTGAACTTTGGTAAGTACCACTTTATACATCTGAATATTTTGCCGATTAATATTTATGATAAGTTCGTCCAAACGAGGTTGAGGAAGGACTACCCTTGGCTCCTATGTGCGCGTCCGCGTCAAAGCAAGATCTCAGAAACTAGTGGACCAATCTTGAAACTTTTTATGTAGGTCTACAACTTGGCTAATGCTAAGTCCAAGTTAATGTTGGTCACTGTACGGTCTTCAATAAAGAACAAAACCCATTTCGTATAGTCATCTATAAAAGACCTTGACATTACAAAATACGGCAACAATTCGAACGAGATAACCAACGATTAATTTGTGATAAAACAATTATAAATAAAAAAAAACAACAAATATGACAACGACAACCACTGAATTACAGGCTCCTGACTTAGAACATGCACATTAAGAATGTTGCGAGGTTAGACATGTTTGTTAGTGCTCAACCCTCTCATAAACTGGGACACTGAATGGTGTAATTGCACAACATAAGAACAAAATGTAACAATCAGTTGGAAATGGGTTGCCTTTGATTGATTCATCAGATTATCTAGAAGCACAAAACACAATTAACATAAAGACAAAAGACCCAAAGTACCGTGTGTACTCACAGTTAGTGAAAGTTAGTTCAAATCCAATTGCAACTTATATACAATATTTTCTCTCAAAAGACGTCATACACAGTCTGAAAACAGCATGACCTTATGTAATGCTAAAATGTCAAAATGCCAAAATATAAGTAAGTAAGTACATATATTTTATTGACAGGATGTAGGGCCATAAGTTTTTAAAACTGTATAGCAAGCACATATTAAGTTATATTTAATTTATTGAAAACAAAATATATGTTAGTACCGATAAAAAAAATATTTTAAGATTACCTACGTTGTTAAATGATAATCTTTAAGAATAGGTTTATTCAAATTAAATATCACTGAGTTTGCGTGGATCGTATCTAAATTTGTTGACTCTATAAACATCAATACCGTAAAAATAGAATGTGATATCCTATTTGTAATAAGAATTCTACAGGTACATTCAAACTTCCAAACCTAATCTTCATATATATGAAAGAATCTAGTAAAAATCTTAAGTAATTTGTGATAACTAAATCCCTGACTTACTAATTTACGACAGTTATACATAGATTACGTTCATTGAATTCTAAAACGTCAATACAGGCTCGAACAAATGGACAATTATCAATAAACTTGTTTAAATATGCCTATTGAGAAGTAGATCACCATCAATGCAAAACGGTAAATTACTATGGTCAATATTTCACGCTCAGTCGTGGATTGTGATTAAGTTTACGTCCAAGTTCATATCTCAGTATTCTCCAATTGTCGTAACCATGCACAATGTCGTCCCCTTTTTCAAATGTGACCTACCGAATTAGAATTATAACCGGGTTTGTACTTACACTAGCAGCACGACGGGTGCCACATGTGGAGCAGGATCTATATACTTACCATCCCGGAGCACCTGAGATCACCCCGATTTTTTTTTGTGGGTTTCGTGTTACTCATTCTTTAGTTGTCTATGTTGTGTTTTGTAGACTGTTGTTTGCCTTTCAGTCGTTCCCCCCCCCCCCCCCCCCCCCCATTCTTTTGCCCTGACATTGTCAGTTCGTTTCAACTTATCAGTTTGACTATCCCTTTGGTATCTTCCTCCTCTCAGTAACTGTAAGAGGGACAGATCTATCTCAACTTGTTTAAGTATAAAGTTCAGGGAGAATCTCAGCATCAAAGACAGTTAAGGCAAAAGAATTTAACCATGACATAAATTCAATGCATCATTGACTTATCTAAGGGCATGCGATATACAGTTACATGGGAGATAATGACGTCGCTAACGTAAAATGATATTTTTCGCGACGTCAAACTGTGACATATTGGGGAAAATGCTTTTTTTTTTCTACCGATTTTATTCAGTAGCTTGAAAACGAGTAAATGGACCCCTCTTTTTGAAAATGACATTTGGCTTGATTATGTATGAAGATTTTTTTGCACACCTTTTTATAGAAAAATCAGTGAAGATTTTTTTTTTAATTAAATAAAAATACAGCAAAAAATGACATTTTTTTCTATAATCATAAAAATTTACTAAAAATCAATTATTTTCAAAGAATTGTAAGGAAGATATTTGAAATATTTTTACAAAAAATATATTTACTTGTATAGTTATACTTTGAAAGCAAACAAAAAAGTAAGATATGTCTGTCCAGCGGATAGAAATGTCCATGAAACCGAAATTTTAAGTATATGTCTAAAATTTCGACCCCATTTATCTCTAAGAATAACACATGAAGGTATATTTTTATTACATATTCGAATTGACGAGGTGAAAATTAGCTTGTATGCAAACTTTTGTAAAAAAAAATCACCGTGGGATCAAAACTGAGTTCAAATGTCGGTATTAAAAGATCATTAAAACTTCAGTTTATATGTATCTTCGCGGGAGCTGGTGAGCATTCATGCAGACAAAATTATGCCATTTTCACCTATATATTCCATGCTGTCTCATTTAAAAAGTATTACACACTATAGGTGTAGTAGACATTCTGCATTAATTTGTCCGAATTCTGGACACGTTGATAAAAAAACAATTTACGTGTCATGACTCTGAGTATTTTATCATATAATTGGAGGAAACACGCACTGTGGTTGTAGGCGCATGGCCCTGTGTGATTAGCGGGAAAGTTTGACTGCCACTGAAAAAGTAAGGGAAAATAAGGGTGTGTTGGAAAAAGCATTCTTAAAAATGAGAAACTGGGCCAATCTTCATACCCCGGGATACTATTTGGGGTAAAAAAATAGTCGACAAGACAGGTATGTCGTGACTGAGGTCGTGATGAGAGTTTGTAAATTCCAAACATTGTCTCATTAAGATTCCAATAGCGTATTTCAGCAAAAAATATCATTCGTGTGAATTCTTTGGTGAATAATTTCCTTTGGAATATACAGGCTAACCAGGGACATAACCGAATCAGTTCATTCCAAAATCTGCAAATTTTCACTTGGAGTAGGAAAAAGAAGCACAGATATGGCAGTGATAGGTGAGCTAGGGAGATATCCATTATTTATTGAAGTTATAGTTAATATTTTTCCATACAACCTGATGTTCAGTGGTTGTCGTTTGTTGATGTGGTTCATAAGTGTTTCTCTTTTTTCGTTTTTTTATATAGATTAGACTGTTGGTTTTCCTGTTTGAATGGTTTTACACTAGTCATTTTTGGGGCCCTTTATAGCTTGCTGTTCGGTATGAGCCAAGGCTCCGTGTTGAAGACCGTACTTTGACCTATAATGGTTTACTTTTACAAATTGTGACTTGGATGGAGAGTTGTCTCATTGGCACTCATACCACATCTTCTTATATCTATTTATCACGTTTAACAACTACAGTGGACAAATTATTGTCCGAAGCCCTCTTTGTATCCAAATCCGTATCGAACCATAGTAAGAAAAGTTGGTATAATTCTATGAGTTCATTAGCAAAATACTTAGACATAGATTTATCACAAGTTTAAAATATGAAATCCAGTTTAAAAAGATTTATTTTGAACAGACTTAAATTAAAGAATAATCAGTTGTGGTATTCATCTTTAAACGATGATAGAAATAATATGTAATTTGGAAATAAACTCAGAACATAATTATAGACTTTTTAAGAGAAATATAAGTTTTTAACCCTATCTGTCTACAGACAATAGGAATAAGAGAATTTAGATGACAAAATTCAGAATAAGTAACCATAATCTTGAAATAGAGAGAGGTAGATACAGGGTACTTCAGGCAATAGATAGATGATTTGTAATCTTTGTTAAAAAAGAAGAGGAAGACGAACTCCACGTTCTATTAAGAGAGTTTCCATCATTTCAAATATAGCTAAAAGTTACAAATTTATTTGGCTAATGTCCAATGAAGAAAGTCACATATCTTATCAAGTGTGTAATTGAATTAATAATTTAAGTATTGTTCGAAAACAACTATTAGAAACTTAGTAAAATTTATAAATTTTACTGGTAAGAAGCTGACACATTTTTCTTGTATGAATATAGGTATGCAAATTTAGCTATTTATAGTTGTGCTAGTTATTAGTGTGCTTATGACAGTACCAGAAAAAAAAACAGAATATTTTAATCCAGTTTTCTATATTTGTCACTGAAGATCACTGTATTTGCCAATGTGAAAACATATAATATTTATATAAATATACATTATTGTGTCTTTTTCTTGTCTTTTCATTCTATTCATAGATTTAATTGTAATCAAATCATTGTAATCGTTGTAATCATTTGTACCAAATTTAACTTGATTATCCTGCCTGTAATGGGCGTCTTTATAAATTGAAAATAAAAACATATACGTAACAGTAAAAACAATCATGTAAAGTTAATAATTTAGGGAGCTTGTTCTTGTATGTTAAAACCAAGCGTGAGACACTGATTCTTATTTACCATTTGGTTTTGAAGATATGCTACTATCGAGCAATGAGCTACGATACTCTGATTACTTCCCTTGTACTATCGACTCGCATGTAGCAGAGAGTTATTTTTAGCTCATTTTAAATCACGTGGTAAAGGTGTACTCTTTGAAATAGACTATAACTTACAGCATTCCGGAAGCGCATTTAGATCATATGGAGTCGATCAACGAATCAAATTGCTGCTTACAAAACATTTTGAGCAGCAGTTGACCTGAGAATATTGAGGCAAATACGACTCCAAATTTGACGATATTTGCATTGATTAGAATTGTATTGAAAACGTGTTCATATTGAACACTTTTGAAAACTGGAATAGCTTTTCTTTTAGTGTGTTAGATTCGAAATTTGTGATAATAAACCACAGGTATAGACATAGGTAGGAATTTTATGTGAGATTTCTTTCAGCTTTTACAGAATAACATAAATTATCTGATTTATACATGATTTTTTCTGACATATTCAATGTTTATGCGGTGTATTACAAAATGATTTCAATGATTACGGCAAATGCAATGTAGTTTATGGCTTTTGGTGAGAACGTTGTTGTGGTCGGTACATAAAATGGGGGACAATCTCAAAATGCAGAATGTTGGATCTGTGTAAATTGAAAACATGGGCTTTCATTGGATGTCAATGCAACAGACTTTAGTTTAAAAAAATAAATGTGACAGAAATTGACTGTTAATGTATATGCCATTTTAATTGACAGGTTAAATTCGATAATAGAAACTTGACAATTCAGTACTGCCTACTGGAACAGTACACATATATGCCTGTCAGTGCTGGTGACATACTACAGAAAGTTGCACTATCAAAATTGTGTATGGTGCATGGGTTAGTTTTACAAATATCAGTGTCCAAATGGATCTAAGCAAACGATGAAAAAGCTATTTGTTCAGATTAAAAACAAGAAGGTCTTTACCATGTGGAGATTAATAAGATAGCCTTTTGAAAAAAAAAGACCCTTTGTCAAATTGTGATCTGAAAAATATTTGGTTTCTTAGGTATTTTTTTGTAAAAAAGAAATTTAGAAGTGCACAGTTTGGTTGAAATTTGTTCAATGTGATGTCTCCACCTCTACTGAGGCAAAAATTTCAGTCTTCACGATAAACTCTTGAATGCACAAGCCTGGAGCTCAATTTTACGAAAATTTTAGTTACTGTTGGCTTGTAGAGAAAAATTTTACAAGCCTGGGCTGGTGGTCTTGTAGTTAAGTGTGAAGACTGCAAAATATATATGGTTCCTAGGTACATTATAAACTGACAGGGAATCTTATAGTGGAAAGTTCTCCAGCCACTACTATCATAGCTCCTCCTGAGTATCATAGTATATGGTTACCATGTACTTTTCTGTAGAAAAGATGTACTTTTGTTTGACCGGTGTGAACTTGGACTTTTATTTTTTATAAACACATGTATATTCAGCCCTTAATTTAGACAGGCAACATAAAATTCACTGTTGGGGGCCATTTGGGGAACATAACTTTTTAAACCTGGAGATGGAAAAAAAAATTCTTAAAAAATTCTTCTGGATTTTTTTCCGGCCCAATCCCATTAGCTGATTTCAAAATACCTTTCTACTGCCAGCTATGCACTTGTAAGTGGGTGATTTTTATAAATGGAGAGCATTTCATCCACCATGAGTAACAGCATCCATTGATACAACAACAAAATCTGCTAAACTAAATAAATGTTAAAATGTGAAGACACTTGAAATGATATAGTCACAAATTTTGCGTCCGAACAGAGACAAATAAAAAAAATGTATGTTGGCTATTGATGTCTTGACTCCTGTATATGAGACAAAAAGGATTAATTACGAAAAACACCTCAAACATGAAAAGTGTCAAAATAAAGTTTTCATAAATGGCATTCTGTGGTGTTGATAAGAGATGCTGGTGCACAAAAAAACAAAATACAAGGTGAGATTGATTTTGGGGTAATTGTCTTACTGTTTAGGAATAACATGAATAAGGGGCCAAAAACAAGCATTTTTCTTGTTTCAGGACAATAACTTGTACATGTATACAAGTGTATGGATCTCCATGAAATTGTTCCACAAGGTTCCATACCTCAAAAGGAAGGTTGGGATTGATTTTGGGGGTTATGGCCCAATCTGCTTAGGAATTAAGGGCCAAAAAACAAGGATTTTCTGGTTTCCAGACAATAACTTGAGTATAAGTCTAGGGATCTCTATGAAATTGTACCACAAGGTTCTGTACCAAAAAGAAAGGTTAGGATTGATTTTGGGGTTTATGGCCCTAACCTTTTAGGAATTAGGGGCCATAAACAATACTTTTTTAATAATTTGTATAAATTGCTTATTTCTTGACCAATTTCAATGAGGTTTAAAGTCTTGAATTCTTTGGGTTCCTTAATATGCTGAATCTAACTGTGAATTTGGATTTTGGGCCTTGTTTTTGAATTGGTGCACATTGAGGTCCATAGGGTCCAGAATTAAACTTTGTTTGATTTCATCGTAGAATTGAAGTATTGTTTTTTCATATGCCAATTTTAACCGTGTATTTATATTCAAAAAATTTGGCCCCGTTTTCAAATTAGTCCACATTAAGGTCTATTGGGTCCAAAATTAAACTTTGTTTGATTTCAACAAAAATTAAATTCTTGGGGTTCTTTGATATGCTGAATCTAACAGTGTATTTACTTTTTTGATTTTGTCCCTGTTTTCAAATAGGTCCACATTAAGGTCCAATGTGTCCAAAATTAAACTTAGTTTGATTTTAACAAAAAATGAATTCGTAGGGCTCTTTGACATGCCGAATCTACATATGTATTGAGATTTTTTATTTTGGGCCGTTTTCAAGTTGGTTCAGATCAGGGTCCAAAATTAAACTTTTTTGATTTTAACAAAAATTGAATATATGGGGTTCTTTGATATGCTGAATCTAACAGTGTATTTAGTTTTTGGATTTTTAGTCCCATTATCAAATTGGTCTACATTCTACATTAAGGTCCAAAGAGTCCAAAATTAAACTTTGTTTTATTTCATCAAAAATTGAATTATGGAGGCTCTTTGATATGCCGAAATAACCATGTATTTAGATTTTGGATATTGGACCATGAAAGGTAAATGTCCAATTCAAACCTTTGAGTTCTTTGGCCATATTTATTCTGTCAGAAACCTATGCCGTGTCAAATATTTAATCACAATCCAAATCAGAGCTGTATCAAGCTTGACGTTGTGTCCGTACTTGCCCCCAACTGTTCAGTGTTCGACCTCTGCGGTCTTATCAAGCTGCGCTCTGCAGAGCATTTTATTAGTCCCCTAACGACGAAGTCGTAGGGGACTTTAGGTTTGCACTCCGTCCATTTGTCTGTCTGTCAATCCGTCAGTCCGGCAAATCAGTTTTCCACACTTTTTATGCCCTCGCTGTAGCGTAGGGGGCATAAAGTTTTACCCTTGTCTGCAGTACGTCCCAAAATTGGTTTCTGTTTTCTAACTCAACCTTAACATGCCTCAACCAAATTTTATGAAACTTATACACAATGCTTATTACCCAAAATAAGTTTGAATTTTGTTGGCGTCACTTTTACCGTTCTAGAGTTATGCCCCTTTACAAATGGAAAAATTGCTGAATTTTTCATTTCCGTTCTATTCAAGTACAAATTTGGGTAGCGTCACTTCTACATTTCTTGAGTTGTGTCCCATTATAATGTTATATATGCAAGTGGGGCATCATCTGTGTCCCATGGACACATTCCCCATTTATTTTCTTTGTCCTTGAAGATATTGATTTGATATTTGGTGTATTGTTTTATCATGACAAGTTACAGATCAAATTCAAATTTTGTTCTGGTCTGATGATTTTGTGCAGAGTTATGGTCCTTGGACTTGAAAATTCACTCAAATAATCAGTTTTCCTCACTTTTTTTCATCATGATTGAAAATATTGATTTGATAGTAATTGGTTTATAGTTTTATCATGACAAGTTACAGATCAAGTTCGAATTTTGTTCCAGTACAATGAATTTTTAACCGGTAGGGGACTAGGTATTGCAATACTCTCAAAATGCTTGTTTAACCTACTTTTGAGGCCACATTTTAAGGATACTAATGGTTAAGGCACAAACTCCAAGTTATGATCACTTGCAACATTTCTGGAACCTTTGGTGAGGTTTGTTTCAGATTGAACTTTTCCATCATTCATAATGAAGTTGTGACTTTAACCCTGTAACATTTTTACTATTTACTTTGTCTGTATCTCTTACGGTTTCAGACAGAATTACATGGTCTGTTGTCAAGAAGACCAATGGTAAGGACCTTGGGTCTCTGTGACTTATTGTTTTCAAGTTCTGAAGTGTTTCACCGATTTCATTGAGATTTCATGCAGAGACATGTCTTAAAATGATTTGTACATTGTATGGATACTTTTGGTTAATCACTGTTAAAGTTCATAAAATTTCCCTATATACATGTAGTCTATGTAAAATATTTTTCAAAAGTAAAATTATTTTACCTACATGTACCTACCTACCTACCCTATTTTACCTTCGAGAGGTTTTGAACATGCAAGAAAGTAAAAATAATAACGGATTACAGGAAGCACCCAATTAATAAACAGAAAATGAGAGCATTAATACTAAAAACATAAACCAAAACAAATCATTACCTTAAAACTATTGTCTCCCCTGTAAAACTATTGTTTTTGTCTCCCCTGTAACACTAGTAAAACTATTGTTTTTGTCTCCCCTGTAACACTAGTAAAACTATTGTTTTTGTCTCACCTGTAAAACTATTGGTTTTTGGTCTCCCCTGTAACACTAGTAAAACTATTGTTTTTGTCTCCCCTGTAACACTAGTAAAACTTTTTTTTTGTCTCCCCTGTAACACTAGTAAAACTATTGTTTTTGTCTCCCCTGTAACACTAGTAAAACTATTGTTTTTGTCTCCCCTGTAACACTAGTTGCGGTAGACCAAATTTAAGTATTACTATTCTGACAAATATCAACAATTATAAAATGCTTCAAGGTATTTGTATAGATATATATAATGAAGAGCTTATTGGGTTATGACCTTGGTGGCTTGGTCTCATTTTTATGCTTCAGCTTTAAGGATGACATTTGTTATCATCACCCAAACATGATAGATCTCAGATAACATTTGATTTATAAAAAAACATCTCTTTCAAATTTGCTGAAAAAAACCCATATTCCTTTGTAAGAAAAATGTCTGTGTTAATGAATTGATTCATAATCCATAGCTTCATCAAAGACCTTGTTTGTGTAAAAATCCTCAAAGTACATGTGCTATATTAATAATAAAAAACAACATTTAAATATACATGTAAGATATCTGTGCATGATGATTTCACAACTTACACCAAAGTTTTTTGTGTTGTATACATATATATAAAAAAAGGGGAAGTGGTATGATTGCCAATTGGACAACTTAGTATCCACCAAAGTTCACTATTAGTAGATATCTCTCTCACAAGCACATGTTTATTTGCAGTATAAATTATATACTTACTCCACACACAATTTAATGATCCCTATAGATTTTACTTCAATGTATATCAATTAAAAGCAAATTTTAATGCCATTTAAGTACATGTGCATGTAACATTTCAAATTTTTGAAGAAAATTCCAGGAAGTTGTTTCCAGAATGGTTAAAAATTTAAAGAGAAATTGTTTAACTTTTATTCAATTTTCCATGCACTCTATACATTTATACTTCTGTTTGCAAATATTTACCACAGTGGAAGTATGAACAAACTAATATCATAATTTGATATTCAGAAACAGCTCCTAATGCTCTTGTTGCATACAAGATATCATAAAAATCCATTGGTCCTCCATTTTCATACCATTCATATTGCTAGCACTGACATTCCCATGCTTTAAACACAAAGATATTGTCTGCACAATAAAATTTTTGTTTGATTTGCTTATCAAAAAGGAGAAGGATGTGAGTGTAATTAGCATTAATGTTATTGCTTTCAGCTTCATATTTCATATTGTTTCATAACTTTGGCTCTATACAAAATGTGAAATTAATCTTTTATTGATTTTTACAAACAAACAAAAAATGTATCTTCCTGCATATGTATTGTTATAACTTCCAGCATAAAATCTGATAACAAAAAGGTTATTTATTTTGCAGATAGGATGAGCAGTCAGAGTAGTGGTGAAAAACCTCCAGATGATTCAGGGAAGGTTGGTCAACCATTGAGAATTCCATCTAGTAAACCATCCCAAAGTAACGCACCATACCAGGTAACATCTTCTTTGTTTACTGACTCATTATCCACACCCAAAAGTAACTCACCATACCAGGTAACATCTTCTTTGTTGACTGACTCATTATCCACACCCAAAGCAACTCACCATACCAGGTAACATCTTCTTTGTTTATTGACTCATTATCCACACCCAAAGTAACTCACCATACCAGGTAAAATCATCTTTGTTTACTGACTCATTATCCACACTCAAAAGTAACTCACCATACCAGGTAACATCACCTTTGTTGACTGACTCATTATCCACACCCAAAAGTAACTCACCATACCAGGTAACATCATCTTTGTTGACTGACTCATTATCCACACCCAAAAGTAACTCACCATACCAGGTAACATCTTCTTTTAACTGACTCATTATCCACACCCAAAAGTAACTCACCATACCAGGTAACATTATCTATGTCTACTGACTCATTATCCACACCCAAAAGTAACTCACCATACCAGGTAACATCTTCTTTGTTGACTAACTCATTATCCACACCCAAAAGTAACGCACCATACCAGGTAACATCATCTTTGTTTACTGACTCATTATTAATACCTCAACATGCTAAAGTAATGCACCACACCAGGTAACATCTTCTTTGTTTACTGACTCATTATATATGCCCCAAAGTAACTCACCACACCAGGTAACATCTTCTTTGTTTACTGACTCATTATCCACACCCAAAAGTAACTCACAATACCAGGTAACATCTTCTTTTTTTACTGACTCATTATCCATACCCCAAAGTAATGCACCACACCAGGTAACATCTTCTTTGTTTACTGACTCATTATCCATGCCCCAAAGTAACTCACCACACCAGGTAACATCTTCTTTGTTTACTGACTCATTATCCATGCCCCAAAGTAACTCACCACACCAGGTAACATCTTCTTTGTTTACTGACTCATTATCCACACCAGGTAAAATCTTCTTTGTTTACTGACTCATTATTATCCATACCCAAAAGTAATGCACCATACCAGGTAAAATCTTCTTTGTTTACTGACTCATTATCCATACCCCAATGTAAAGCACCATTCCAGGTAAAATCAACTTATTACACCCTCTCATCTTGGTGAGCATAGAAAACATTTACATAGGAATCTGGAAATTCAGCTAATAAGAGTTTTACGTTACTATGAGCCAAATAGGAAACTGTGATAGAAACAGGAAATTAAAGTTGAAAGCATTACATTTCCTGAATTCTTATCTTGTAAATTTGATTATAATTTCAACAGCAGATGCACATTTGTACAAAAAATGTTGATGTACCAAAAGTAATTCAGTCATTTGTATATTATTTAATTCCATGGTAATTATGTGTATATATTTCCATTCCAGACATTATCTAAAACACTAAGCAGACCTGTTTTGCAGATGCAAAATGTAGGAGGAGTTATTCCCCCTGCCCATTCAGCCCAATCTCTCCAAGCTTTTTTACCAGCCGCAGCAGGACTTCCTCAGGGTAAACTTTGTTATTTTCTTTTATATATTAATATTTCATTTCTTTCGCATGTATAGCAGAGTCAGAAAGACATACCGTAATCGGGCTTGTATAGTTCGCACTGGTACATTGTCCGCACCCCCCTTCTCGCCACGAAATTTCAGGTAAAAAAACTTTTTTTAACTGTTAGAAAATGTCTAATGAAACCCCCGAAATTCAAATCATGTGTGGTCGTTTGCGGTATTTTCATTGAAAAACCTGTATTCCATCATCAAACAGAAGTTGAAACTTCTTGAAAATGATTCTAGAACACTTCACGATTGTTAAAATAAGTCAAAATCAAACAAATTAGAAACTTGTGTATGTTTAAACCGGAAGTTTGAATAGCACGTGTAAAAGAAAATAAATACAGTGAGAGTGTACGAAAAATCTGTACGTAATAGATATCACTAGAATACAACTTTGAAAGTAAAACAGTTCCATCCTTGTGTAAAACAATGTTTAATATATCTATCACATCAATGTTTGAAGGATCTTAATCTAATACAAAACACATGCGTCAGTATGAAACACCAAAACAGAACGAATAACTGATTATACGTTTTGTAGTTTATATATCGTAAGCTGGTTTACGGTTGACTTATTTACTTTTTTTGTTCCCTTACATTCAAGCAGATTCCAGATTATTTTAAGCAATGCAGTGAAAAGAAACAAGAAATTTGTAATGAAGCATTTGATTTTTAAATTTATCAGTACTAATTTGATATCAAATAAAAATAACGCATTAATATTGATTAGGTAAAATTATTAGTTTTGAAAATGATAAGAGTACCCTTTACAATATCAATAACAAACATGGCGGAATGTAAACAAACCACCTCGGGAAATCAAATTTTTTCTCTTATTTCTTGCCTATCGTACTCTATAGTCCGCACCCCGGTCTGGCAGGTTTAATTTTGGAGAATAAAACCGCAGACTATACAAGCCTTTATTCGGTAGTCCATTTTTTCAAGTACTGAATCGGTACCTAATAATTACTTGTTTATTTGCTTTGTAGGTTCTCATTTAGCCTAAATTAAGTATACAGAAATGTACATGTATGTACATGTAGCTAATCCAATACAAGTCAGTACAAAAAGGAACCAACATAATTTTTGACTTATTCAAATTTCATGTAGAAGTTGCATGTACATCATGTTTTATTTGTTTTAAAGCTTTATTACTAATATCATATGTTGAATATACATTTTGACATAGAGCCTTGTAATGGCAACAATAATAACCAGTGATTCTTTAATTTATGCTCATCGCTTAGGTCTTACATTTATTTCAGTTATTGTGCAGTGAAAAAATATGCAAGGATATGTTCAGTGTTCTCCCCAAGACCTCATGGAACCATGAATAGATATAATTATAGTTAATTTAGTGCTATAATTTAAGGGAACCGTGCTATTTCAAATCCCATGGTGCTAATACTTGGGAGAACTCTGTTATGTTCAACTTTGTTTATCATCAATGCTGTCAACAAATTGAACATTGTTTAATAATTTAATTTTGGATGTAACGCGTCTTCTGATTGGCTGACATTGTTTTGTTTATCAGCTCATAAACATAATATTGTCATGTGACCATGACGTCATCAACGTTTTTTCATGGTTTACTCAGGTTTAAAATGGAATTTAGAATTAAATTATAAGAAATGACTAATATTTTTTCTGTCTATTCGAAATAACATAAAAAATGTGGTGCACACTTTAAAATAACCCGCTACGCAGGTTATTCAGTGTGCACCACATTTTTGATGTTATTTCTTCATAGACAGAAAAAATATTACAGTCATTCCTTAAATATAAACAAGCATTTCAAACTGTATTACATAAAAAAAAAATGTACATATACAAATAACAGATGACAGCTTTAAATCTTTAACAAACTCCTATGCTATGGTGAACAATATTTAATCCTACAATATTCATGGAGATTTATTCATGTTTGATTTAGTTTGAAGTTAAATGACATGAAACAACTATATGGGTGTTATTTGTCTTGAAGTTATATTATTGAATGAAATACAATCGTCTCCTACACACGTATCTGGACAAGGTTTGCCCTGCCACTTAATTTCCAACGTAAGGTGTTGGTTCACCTTACCAAACTATAGCTGTTTCAAGTTTGACAATCACAGTTGATGTAATTTTTCTCTTGTGAATTAAAAATATACTGTATATTTTGAATTTAAACATGTTAAATGAGATTTCAGCTGAATCAAAACTTTCAAGAAAACAGAGTTTTTCAACACAACAGAGTTTGATTTCATAATGTTCAACCGTATAAGCAATATATTAATATAATTCCAAGTGTTGGATATGTGAAGAAATGTCTATCTACCAGTACGTATAAAGTTTTTATGAAAGATTGTTTCATAATAAATTATCATTTGTAACTGCAGGTCTTCTGGCTGGAAATATTGATGTGAACAAACCATCACTTACTGCAAACCCTATCAACTTTTCAACTTTGACCCCAGCATCAACATCCTCAACGTCTATGATGTCGTCAACTCAGATTGTAAGAGTGGCCACTCCGGGAACGTCACAGCCTAGTATTGTACAAATTAGTGCTCCAACATCAGTCACATCAACATCACAACATGGAACAGATGGGTCCATCTTAAAACCACATATCCAAACAGCGTATCCATCTCATCTTCCTAGAGGTATGTCATCATCTATAATTGTCAAAATTACATATTTTGTTTTATTAATTCCTAGTTACTTGTCTCATAAACATCCACCCATATTCTTTTTTCCTCACTTAAATGGCATTTTTATTTTGTTTTACCCATTTCTGTTTGCATTTAACATGTTTAAAGTACAAAGTTTGTACACCTTACTTCTACATTAAATTTGGGATGCAATTTGATAACACAATAAAACATTAGAAAAGACATCCACCAGTCAACAATAAAACATTAGAAAAGACATCCACCAGTCAACAATAAAACATTAGAAAAGACATCCACCAGTCAACAATAAAACATTAGAAAAGACATCCACCAGTCAACAATAAAACATTAGAAAAGACATCCACCAGTCAACAATAAAACATTAGAAAAGACATCCACCAGTCAACAATAAAACATTAGAAAAGACATCCACCAGTCAACAATAAAACATTAGAAAAGACATCCACCAGTCAACAATAAAACATTAGAAAAGACATCCACCAGTCAACAATAAAACATTAGAAAAGACATCCACCAGTCAACAATAAAACATTAGAAAAGACATCCACCAGTCAACAATAAAACATTAGAAAAGACATCCACCAGTCAACAATAAAACATTAGAAAAGACATCCACCAGTCAACAATAAAACATTAGAAAAGACATCCACCAGTCAACAATAAAACATTAGAAAAGACATCCACCAGTCAACAATAAAACATTAGAAAAGACATCCACCAGTCAACAATAAAACATTAGAAAAGACATCCACCAGTCAACAATAAAACATTAGAAAAGACATCCACCAGTCAACAATAAAACATTAGAAAAGACATCCACCAGTCAACAATAAAACATTAGAAAAGACATCCACCAGTCAACAATAAAACATTAGAAAAGACATCCACCAGTCAACATACACTCTTCATTAATAATAGTAATATACAATGTACAGATATTTAGCTGAATAGCTATTTGATTGAAGAAAATGTATGTCCATTATCATGTTGTCAAATGTGGCAAGCAGCCATAGTCATTATTTGCATAACAAATCACTGTTTGCTCTTTAGGAGTCATACCACCATAGTTTTTCCCCTATGCGTCTTTGTTGAATTGGCATTTTTCAAAAAATTGTGCAGAATTTGTCTTTTGTTTCAAATAACAAAAATACTTGACCTGAGTAAAGTTTTATCCTGTCCAGTACTACAGTAGAAATTTCACTTAACATTTCATTGCATATAAGATAAAAACCATCACCAGAAGTTAACCAATCAAATTTTCACTCCTTTTTGCCTGTTGACAAGCTTTAGTAACCATGTCACCTCAAGTTTCCAAAATGTTTTATAGAAATATCAATGAAAAAAAGAATGGTGCTTTGAAACACCCAAGATAGATGTTTATGACTCCAAAAAAAATGTTCTGCAATGAAATGCAAGGTTAATTTCCTACAACTGTCAAATTCAAGGGAATATTTTTTTCTACCCTTTTTCGTTCGGATGTGACGTACCATGTTTTGGTGGTATTACACCTCTGTAATCTCTATTGATCAATTGCTATGTGAAGAACATGAAAGAAAAAAGATTAGATATTGTTTTGTACTGATAATGTTATGTTTTCAAAAATCTAGAACTTCATAAAGCATGAAGGCCAAATGCATTTTCAAACCATTGGTTTAATGTAATACAATAATGTGTGTAAGTAGATTACAGACTTTGGTGTACTTCTGAATGTCTTTAACAGTTAATATATAGTACATGTTATGGCATGCCTAGTAAACTTATATATTGTTTTTGTTATTGCACTAGGTGCGGCAGCAGCAGCCTCTGTTTTAGCAGCACCAAAGTCTAACACAGCTGTTCCAATGTTACGACCCAGTCAACATGCTGTGCCAACATCGAGTTCTGCCACAGGAATCCATGGCTCCAGAGGTTCATTGATTACTACAACTCCAATTAGGACAACTACCCCACCATTAAATAGACCAATTTCTCCTGCTGTTTCAGTAGCAACCACACTTTCTGATCCCCACAGGTAAACTAATTATTGGAAAGTAAACATTTCACTGTGACTACGCACTTGATAAAACATTATTTCTTTTACATATTGACAATTTGGTTACCAGTGCATTATATTTAATAATTAATTGCTATGCCTTTTTATTAAAAATGTTTTATTTTTAATTCTAAAAAATGATGCACCTTCAGATGCATTGTGGATTCATTTATTTTTCGTGGGTACCAATTTTCTGTGATGAGGTAACTTTGCATTTTCATGGACATTTGATTTTGTGGTTTTGCCGAAGTCTGCATATAACCTAATAGAAAATATGTAATCCGTTGCACATTTAAATTCATGGTCTACTTGTATCCATGAAATCTTTGAAAAATTGGTATCCAACAAATAATAATGAATCCTCAGTATGCAGATAAAGAATATATCAAGTGAATTATGGAAATAGTTGAATATCTGATAAACAATTTTCCAATATGTTTGATTTCTTTTCTAGACAAATGAAACCATTGCCAAGTACTACAGCTATGAATACTGCTCCCAGTATACAGATAACGCTACAGACAGCAAACAGAGCTAATACTGACCTAACCCAGAAACAAATCATCACTCATCAGCAACCAGTTCAGAAACCAGTTCACCTGTCACATGGCATGGCTTTATCATCCTCTAAAATGTTGATGTCACAAACCTCTGTAACCCAGCATTCTGTATTGTCTAACATATCCAAAACTAACAAATGTGAGTTACATTGTGATACACATTTCAAACATATGCCAATGTTCAGGTTTTAGATATGAAAAATGACAATTTATGTATTGTAGATGTTCAAACTAACCCAAAACTAATTGATTGATTGATAGATACCCCCCGTAGATGTTTGTTTTAATACCCCCTGGGGATATCAAGCTAATCACTTATACCTGGCAGGATAAGAACATTTCGATCAGGTTCAAACAATTTACTTCATTATAAAAAAAAATCATCTATGATAATCTACATCTAAATTATTCAGTTTTATAGATTTTTTTTCACCAGTCCAACATGTTAGTGTATACTCATTTGTTCCAGTATTTAAACACTTTTACAAATATGGATTTAAAAATACATAGATTTTCCTGCCATTTCATAGTCAGAAGAAACCTGTATTATAAATATAAAAAGAAGATGTGGAATGATTGCCAATGAGACAACTCTCCACAAGAGACCAAGTGACACAGAAATTAACAACTATAGGTCACAGTACGGCCTTCAACAAAGAGCAAAGCCCATACTGCATAGTCAGCTATAAAAGGCCCCAAAATGACAAATGTAAAACAATTCAAACTAGAAAACTAACAGCCTGATTTATGTACAAAATAATGAACACATTCTTTTGTAATTTGTGATAAACTGGAAACTTCCTGTTTCTATTTGTTTTCTCAAAGACAAAAGTATCATGATCAGTTTGTGAGGAATTAGCAATTTTAAGTCATTAAAATCGTATCATTTTTACACTGTATTTAGCTGCTGAAACAGGTTATATTATGTGATATTTGTGGTATGAATTTTAGAGTATTTAACAGTTTGAACAAATGACCCAGACTTTCTAGTCCTCAAAAATTGACTGAAATCAAGTGAAAACATTTACTGATCCTTGCATGAGACCACAAATTTTGTAATTACAAAAGAATCGTTTGAAAATGTTCAATAGAAGTCAAAGAATGCGTCTCGCCATAACTAAATTTTGGACCATATGAAAATGTAAAACCATCTTGAATTATATGTCATGCATGTTTACTGTATTTTAACCTCTTTATCACATTAATAATTTCAGCAACAGTCCCAGTGTCATCTATTGCCTCATTTCCAGCAGCAGCAGCAGTTACTCATAGTAATCTGACTATGACTTCTGTTCCAATTTCTTCAATAAATTCTTTAAGTGCAGCATCATCAATCATTCCAGTTGGTTAGTATAATAGAAACATGATAATAGAGCTCAACTCTTTTTTGGTACTCCTCTGAGGACAATTGTAAACTAATCCACAGAATTCACTGTCCTTTCAGTAAAAAAAAAATTCCCAATTTCAATTAATTTTAGATAGAAAACTTAAAACCAGATGATGCAGTTCTATTCCTCTTTCTTTTAAACACTTTGTCTTCTCATAAGACCATTATGATTAGATTTAATTTGCATTAAGTCATAATATATCTTTTCTATTAATGAAACAGAAATCATTTTTTGTTAAAAAAAAAAAAGAATTAATTGAATGAGACAGAATCTCAAAAATATATTATTGTACTGCATCACGATTGCTCATAATATGCTTGGCATGAAAATAGAGATGGTTTCCAATTTTATACGACTGCAAAAATTTTTGCGGTTGTATATTGGTATGAAGTTGGCGTCGGTGTCGTCGTCACACAGGGAATGCTGGGATTGATTTTGGGGGTAATTGCCTCAAAATATTAGGAATTAGGGGCAAAAAAACAAGCATTTTTCTAGTTTCAGGACAATAACTTGTGTGTAAGTGTACGGATCATTATGAAATTGTACTACAAGGTACCATATCACAAAGGGAAAGCTGGGTTTGAGTTTGGGGGTAATTGCCCTAAACGTTTAGGAATTTGGGGCCAAAAAGGGGCCAAAAAACAAGCATTTTTCTAGTTTTCAGACAATAACTTGTGTTCAAGTGTATGGATCTCTCTGAAATTGTACTGCAATGTACCATACCACAAAGGGAAAGCAGGGATTGAGTTTGGGGGTGATGAATCATAAAGGGGTTCAAAAAATTTGGGGGAGGGATTTTTTTTTCTTTAAAATTTTCCATTTTACATTGGTTATTTCTGATTTATATATAAAAGCAAATAATGATATGGTTTGAATAGGTAAATTAAAATTTTTTAAGTTCTTAGACCACATTCATTCTGTGTCAGAAACCTGTGCTGTGTCAAATATTTAATCACAATCCAAATTCAGTACTGTTTCAAGCTTGAATGTTGTGTCCATACTTGCCCCAACTGTTCAGGGTTCGACCTCTGCGGTCGTATCAAGCTGCACCCAGCAGAGCATTTTATTTACATTTATAAGAGTAATTATTGCCATATTAAGGTTTGTCTACCTTTAATTTCTAGTATTTTAAAATTTTGAGTATTTATTTTTAGCCAAAGTGAATCCTGTTAGGCAACAACAACCATCTTCTATATCATCACATTTACCTTCACGTCCAGTGACAACAACACACGACAGAACAGAGCCTTTAACACAGGCGCAATCTACTGCAATGTTCCTGCCACAAGCTCATCGACCTATTACTTCAACAATGACATTGCCTGGGTCTGTCACTGGAGTTGATACAAGGTGAGACAGGTTATAAAAAAGAACAGAGTATGATATTATACTGTAGACCAACTTATTTTCACAGATACTTTTGTATGCATTTAGCCCTTTCTAGCTGATTTTGTGGTGATTAATTTCATGATTTTTCTAAATTTGTTGGTGTTTTCTTATAAGAAAAGATCCAAGTTTGACATATTTTCGGCTTTTTATATCTGCATTTTTTTCTCCTCACCAAAGTCACTTTTTAATTGACTCCTCCTTAAGTTCATCAATTATAGATTTACAGATTGATTATCACCCCTTAAATTTCATCAACTATAAAGTTACTGATTGATTATCTCCCCCTAGAGTTAATAGTATTTTTAGGTTTATTCCCTGTCAAAATTACGGGTTTTACCTCTGTATGTCCACCTGTTCCATGAAATTCCGCTGATTTTTCTCAGGAATTATAAATCAGAGGTCCCTGAAAAAGTCATGATCACAATTTTAGTTTAAAACAATGAACCCTACATTAAATTCAAATTCTTCATGATTTTCCTGCTTAAGTTTATGAACCACTAACAATTGTTTCGTGTTTTATCTTGAGGGTTAAGGGTACAAATGTTCAACCCTTCAGATCCAATTCTTTTAAATAGGAATAGTTACCAGTAATGATGTATAATTTTATACAGACAGGGAACAGCAATGAACTTGTCACAGTTACAGCTGCAGTATATGATCTCCCCTGAATATCATCAGTTAATGTACCAACAGATGGCAGCAGCTGCTGCGGCCCAAGCAACAGGATTACCCATATCATCAGCATCATCAGTTAGACCTGGTCTCAGTAAGTTTAGCTTCCCTTGATAAATATGTAGATATATGTTTAGATATACAAACTATTTCCCCTCATAAAATAACATACCAACTGTTGATAACTCTTGTAAACACATTAGCTGTATGGAATACTTCCAGTGTAAATTTTCTAGTCTCACCCCCAATAAATCCATCTTAACAAATAAAAAATACTGATTTTGATTTTGTTTATTGACTTTGAGAATTTATGTTTCAGTTGAGTTAGAATATTTTTTTTTTGGCGACTGTACTATTACTTTGATTACAGTTTTCTATATAAGCATCATTGTATAGACCTTGATAAGTATCTACTATACAAAATCAAAAACAGTTATGATTAGGAAAATAATTTTTCAATCCGAAATTGATGCTTTTCAAATAATGCGAACTGGAGAAATAAAGACAGTGGGTGTAGTTCATTGAAAGATGATTAATGTGAGGGGTCAAAACCCTGAAAGTCCTAAAAGTACAACATTTATTTTTAGCATGGTAAAGGTCAGATTTGTCTCGCTGAATTACACATGTGATGTCATAAGAAAAAGTTGAGCTATCTTATCAGTACCAGTGTGTAGAGTTCTGATATCACTCATTGTTGACAATGTTATGTTTATTTATCTACAGTTAATCAAACACCAAATTTATCTGCAACATTACAAGCAGCAGTCCATGGTTTAGTATCAACAACCCAACCACTAGTGGACCACAATACTATGTTAATGAGACAGGGACCTCTTTCCCTGTTTACTCCACATTCTGCTGGTACTTCTTTTACTACATCTTCTGATGGTAAGTCCAATTTTAGTCTTTAGATTTGTTAATTTTTATACGACCGCAAAAAAATTTTTGTGGTCGTATATTGGTATGACGTTGGCGTCATCGTCGTCGTCGTCATCGTCATCTGGCGTCATCCGAAGACACATTGGTTTTCGCACTCTAACTTTAGTTTAAGTGAATGGATCTCTATGAAATTTTACCACAAGGTTCAATACCACAAAAGAAAGGTTGGGATTGATTTTGGGGGTTATGGTACCAACAGTAAAGGAATTAGGGGCCAAAAAGGGGCCAAAAATATGCATTTTTGTAACTTCCAGACATAACTTGTGTGGTAGTGTATGGATCTCTCTGACATTGTACCACAAGGTTCCATATCACAAAAGGAATGCTGGGATTGATTTTGGGGTAATTGCCTCAAAATTTTAGGAATTAGGGGCCAAAAAAGGGGCAAAAAACAAGCATTTTTCTAGTTTCATGACAATAACTTGTGTGTAAGTGTATTGGTCTTTATGAAATTGTACTACATGGTTCCATATCACAAAGGGAAAGCTGGAATTGAGTTTGGGGGTAATTGCCGAAACGTTTAGGAATTGGGGGCCAAAAAGGGGCCAAAAAAAGCATTTTTCTAGTTTCCAGACAATAACTTGTGTTCAAGTGTATGGATCTCTGAAATTGTACTGCAAGGTACCATACCACAAAGGGAAGGTTGGGATTGATGATGGGGATAATTGCCTGAATATTTTAGGAATTAGGGGCCAAAAAGGGGCAAAAAACAAGCATTTTTCTAGTTTCAGGACAATAACTTGTGTGTAAGTGTATGGATCTTTCTGAAATTGTACTACAAGGTTCCATATCACAAAGGGAATGCTTGGTTTGAGTTTGGGGGTAATTGCCCTAAATGTTTAGGAATTTGGGGCCAAAAAGGGGCCAAAAAGACACATTTTTCTAGTTTCCAGACAATAACTTGTGTTCAAGTGTATGGATCTCTCTGAAATTGTACTGCAAGGTACCATACCACAAAGGGAAGGCTGGGATTGAGTTTTGGGGTGATGAATCATAAGGGGGTTCAAAAAATTTTGGGGGGAATTTTTTTTTTTTTCTTTTAAAATTTTCCATTTTTAGTTGGTTATTTCTGATTTATATTTAAAAGCAAATAATAATGATATGGTAGGAGATACACACCAAACAGGATGTGTAAATTATTATATAATAAGTATTGTGCAATAGCAAGAAATTTTCAATTGCACAGTATTGCACAATAGCAAGAAATCTTGAATTGCACAGTATTGCGCAATAGCAAGAAATCTTCAATTGCACAGTATTGCGCAATAGCAAGAAATATCAAATAGCACAATATTGCGCAATAGCAAGAAATTGTCAATTGTACAGTATTGCGCAATAGCAAGAAATATTTAATTGCACAGTATTGTGCAAAAGAAGATACTTCGTATAAATTGCTTATTTCTTGACCAATTTCAATGGGGTTTTATTCTTGAATTCTTGGGGTTCTTTAATATGCTGAATCTAACCGTGTATTTAGTTTTTGGATTTTGGGCCCCGTTTTTAAATTGGTCCACATTGAGGTCCAAAGGGTCCAAAATTAAACTTTCATCAAAAATTGAATTATTTGGGTTCTTTGATATGCCGAATCTAAACGTATATTTAGATTCTTAATTTTTGGTTCCGTTTTCAAATTGGTCTACATTAAGGTCCAAAGTGTCCAAAATTAAACTTAGTTTGATTTTAACAAAAATTGAATTCTTAGAGTTCTTTGATATGCTGAATCTAAACATGTATTTAGATTTTTGATTATGGGCCCAGTTTTCAAGTTGGTCCAAATCGGGGTCCAAAATTAAACTTTGTTTGATTTCAACAAAAATTGAATATATGGGGTTCTTTGATATGCTGAATCTAACCATGTATTTAGATTTTTGATTTTTGGGCCCCGTTATCAACTTTGTCCACATTGAGGTCAAAGGGGTCCAAAATTAAACTTTGTTTGATTTCATCAAAAATTGAATTCTTGGGGTTCTTTGATATGCTGAATCTAACCATGTATTTAGATTTTGGATATTGGACCATAATAGGTGAATGTCCAATTTAAAATTTTTAAGTTCTTAGACCACATTCATTCTGTGTCAGAAACCTATGCTGTGTCAAATATTTAATCACAATCCAAATGCAAAGCTGTATCAAGCTTGAATGTTGTGTCCATACTTGCCCCAACTGTTCAGGGTTCGACCTCTGCGGTCGTATCAAGCTGCGCCCTGCAGAGCATTTTATTATAATATACAATACTTATAGATTATTAAAAAGCAAAATGTCCAAAATGGCTTCTCGAAAATGAAAATTTATGATTATTTTAAAGTATGTTTAGAATATGGTACCTATTAAAGGTTGGTTGGACCTTAACACATATTACATATATGTAGGACTCAAATCTATGGCGGGTTCCAAATCTATGGCAGATTCCTAATCTATGGCAAATGTGACGTTACAAACGTCAAACAAATCAAATCTATGGCAGATTTTTGTTTTCTCCAAATCTATGGCAGATCTTTAAATTGCGTAATTATCTGGGGAAAAAAGTAACATAAATGTCACAATTGAATAACGCCATATTAAATCGTCGCCGACGCTAACGATGGTGGAACCTATAGATTTGAGCACCATTTCAGATGAAGGTATTTCCCTCGACGACAATTTGCGGATGGTTTAAAGGAAGATTTGGCCTATTATCTGGATGAAGGACAAAATGTGCTGTACCTGCCGAAACCCGCGTTGAATAAGGGTACCGCTGTTTTCAGTACCGGATATTTTAGAAAAGGAGTTATAGTAAATATTTTACTGTCTACGGCTGGCAAAGTTTATAAAGTGAAAGATGAAATTACCGGATTCCAATTTGATTTAAATCGTCATTAAATAAAAAAAGATTTATTAACGATGAAAACAAATTTATGTGAAAATTCAAACTGTTCATTTGTATTTATTTCTTTAATATAAAAAAACTGCCTTCTTGTTTGTTAAGAGACTTACTAGTTGGTTTAATGAATGGGTTAAACAGGTACCATGCACAGATAAGAAAACGTTTATTTCAATCTTGAAGTCTGTATTAAGGTATATGAATTCATCATTTACGAAATTTGTTGGTTGCCATCACGATTTGGTTGACCATTATGGAATGTTTATAGACATGCTCCCGTACATTTCCACTTGTTTAAGACAAGTCATTGGTCATATGTACTGCATTGTTTTCCATTTGCACAAAATTTGCCGTAGATTTGGAAACAACAAAAACCCCCATAGATTAGGAAATTACAAAACTTGCCATAGATTAGGATTATAAAAAATTTGCCATAGATTTGGGATGACATGACGTCACATTTGCCATAGATTAGGAATCTGCCATAGATTTGGAACCCGCCATAGATTTGAGTCCTACATATATATTAAGGTTAGCTGTTTGATAGTGAATTCAGAATTCAGGCATGTTCTAGCAGCCTAAGTGATATATTGTTCTGTGGTTGTAAGGTGCAGTCTAAACCAAAATGCAAAGGTCGAAAATTAAATTATCCAACTTTGGTTCCCTTGTCAATTTATTCCAAGCGGGAAGTGATTTGGAGGAAAATGTTGAAAAGTATGTGGCTTATAAAGAAGGGAAGCTTTAAAAAAAAAAGAGGGGAACGAACCCTGTAAAAATGGCACAGCTTTATTACATTAATTTTTTTATATTTCAGGAAATGTAGTAAGGCCTGCAACACCAAAAGATTCATCCTCGGGATCTGTCCCATCTACCTCTGTTGTCATGGCAACAGCTTCAATACCGGTCAATGTTCCTGCTTTATCAGCAATGGCCATAGCAAGCAGTAATATTCACAGTTTAGCTACAGCTTCCAGTAATTTGTATATAAATGCAGCACAAGCTACAGGTGTTACTGTTCCACAGTTTCAGAGTAGCCAGCCAACAAACATACCTGTAACTAATGCAAACTCTTCACCCAGACCAAGTATTTTAAGGAAACGCACAAATGAAGGGTATGCTGAAAATTAAACTGTTTTTAATGATTTGGCAATTTAAAGAAACTTTACAGAATTAATAAGTGATTTCGGCTTAAATTTTTTTTAATTTGAAATTCCCTATTACTTTATATATGCCCCTATCCTGCAAAATTCATGACCACTAATCCTTTCAGTCAATCCCCCATTGTTCAAAAAAATTCTAGGGAAAACAATGAAACACTGTTGACCTATATAGTTTTTTGTACCAAAATATCTTTAGTTGGAATATAATTAATGATTGGTAAATTAAAACTGAAGATATTATTTTGTATGATAAATTTCTTGAAGAAGAAGAATTTTTGTAATTGTTTAATTGAAGGTATAGATTTGAATTATTTTGATATATCAGTGTTACAGTTAATAAATAAGAATATAGAAATTAAACAGTTATGGAAAAAAAAATAGAGAAATTCAATTTGTTTCTTCATAAAGTAACTAGTCAAAAGTAAAATAACAATAATACCAAACTCCAAGGAAAATTCAAAACGGAAAGTCCCTTATCAAATGTCCTACTGAAATTAATAGTCTTAATAAAATGTCTCTGACTCATTGTATTTTGAATGACAAAGACAAACAATAAATGCATAATCTTATTTCAGTATGACAGTGGTAAAGAAACCAGTGTGTGGTTTAAATACAGTACAAGAAAAGTTACCAGACAATAACAGTCCTCGGCCTGATTCTCGGACAGATTCAGCCCCTCAATCAAATACTAGTTCTCCTAAAACACCAGCTACACCAGCAGGGTGAGTAATACAGTTGACTCAGATTTATAGATAGTAGATTGCTGCATGGTCCAGGTTTCTAATTTTATTCTGTTACAGAAATATCTTATTCAAAGTTAGATAGTTGCAGATCATGGATAAAGCATATATTATATTGAAAACTATAATATATTGGTTAAAACTGAAAAAAGCAGAAATTATCAGCAATACAAGAGCTACAAAAATGCCAATATTACGAAACCATCAGATGACTCCTTATAGGAGTTATTGCCCTTAAACAACTTTTTTTGTTTTTTAACCAATTTTATAGATTTGCCTATTATGTCAGAAAACATATTAGATATAAAGAAAGTGGAAAAAGTAAAAAGAATAATCAGCAGTATAAGATCTACAAAAATGCCAATATGACCTAATCCATTGGATGACTGTTCATGACTTGTTGGCCTAAAATAATGAGTTTTTATCAGTTTTCATTTTTATACGACCGCAAAAAAATTTTTGTGGTCGTATATTGGTATGACGTTGGCGTCGTCGTCGTCGTCCAGCATCGTCGTCCGAAGACGCATTAGTTTTCGCACTCTAACTTTAGTTTAAGTGAATGGATCTCTATGAAATTTTACCATAAGGTTCAATACCACAAAAGGAAGGTGGGGATTGATTTTGGGGGTTATGGTACCAACAGTTAAGGAATTAGGGGCCAAAAATAAGCATTTTCTAGTTTCCAGACAATAACTGTGGAACGGTGTATGGATCTCTCTGAAATTATACTACAAGTTTCCATACCACAAAGGGATGGTTAGGATTTGCTTTGGGGGGGTTATTGCTCAAACCGTTTAAGAATTAGGGGCAAAAAAGGGGGAAAAACAAGGTTGTCCTCATTAATGGACAAATACTTTAGTACAAAACATAATTTAAAGCAGTGTAAGGGAGATAAATCAAATACATCATTGAAATTATCTCCCTTACACTGCTTTTAAATTATGTATAAAGTAATGGTTAATGAACAATTAAGATAATTTAAAACAGTTTAAGGGAGGTAATCCGAATACAAGTTTTGGTTACTTCCCTTACACTGCTTTAAAATTATGTTTAAAAAAATGCATATTTATAAAGGCAGACCAGTATGGTGCATTAGATTTGTAAAATCTTTGACCACATTTATTTATTTGTTATGCCGAATCTAACCGTGTATTTAGATTTTTAATTTTGGGTCCAGTTTTCAAATTGGTCTACATTAAGGTCCAAAGGGTCCAAAATTAAACTTTGTTTGATTTTAACAAAAATTGAATATATGGGGTTCTTTGATATGCTGAATCTAACCATGTATTTAGATTTTTTATTTGTGGACCCCGCTATCAAATTGGTTCATATTGAGTTCAAAAGGGTCCAAAATTAAACTTTGTTTGATTTCATCAAAAATTGAATTATTGGGGTTCTTTGATATGCCAAATCTAACCGTGTATTTAGATTTTTAATTTTGGGTCCCATTTTTTAAATTGGTCTACATTAAGGTCCAAAGGGTCCAAAATTAAACTTAGTTTGATTTTAACAAAAATTGAATTCTTGGGGTTCTTTGATATGCTGAATCTAAACATGTGTTTAGATTTTTGATTATGGGCCCAGTTTTCAAGTTGGGGTCCAAAATTAAACTTTGTTTGATTTCAACAAAAATTGAATATATGGGGTTCTTTGATATGCTGAATCTAAACATGTATTTAGATTTTAGATTTTTGGCCCAGTTTTCAAGTTGGTCAAAATTGGGGTCCAAAATTAAACTTTGTTTGATTTCAACAAAAATTGAATATATGGGGTTCTTTGATATGCTGAATCTTACCATGTATTTAGATTTTTTATATGTGGGCCCACTATCAAATTGGTTCATATTGAGGTCAAAAGGGTCCAAAATTAAACTTTGTTTGATTTCATAAAATATTTAATTATTGGGGTTCTTTGATATGCCAAATCTAACCGTGTTTTAATTTTTAATTTTGGGTCCCGTTTTTTAAATTGGTCTCTATTAAGGTCCAAAGGGTCCAAAATTAAACTTAGTTTGATTTTAACAAAAATTGAATTCTTGGGGTACTGTGATATGCTGAATCTAAACATGTGTTTAGATTTTTGATTATGGGACCAGTTTTCAAGTTTGTCCAAGTTGGGGTCCAAAATTAAACTTTGTTTGATTTCAACAAAAATTGAATATATGGGGTTCTTTGATATGCTGAATCTAACTATGTATTTTGATTTTGGACATTGGACCATAATAGGTAAATTAAAAAAATTGAAGTTCTTAGACCACATTCTTTCTGTGTCAGAAACCTATGCTGTGTCAAATATTTAATCACAATCCAAATTCAGAGCTGTATCAAGCTTGAATGTTGTGTCCATACTTGCCCCAACTGTTCAGGGTTCGACCTCTGCGGTCGTATCAAGCTGCGCCCAGCGAAGCATTTTATTTTTGCCTATTATTTCAATTTTGATAAGTAAGGTATTCAGGATCTTTGGAATCTCTATTTTGCAATTTAATTTCCAAATACTGGTCCATATCATACTTCTGTCTTTAAGATAAATTAGAATATTAAAAGAAAAATGAAAATACCACTGGTCAAGTTCTGTTTATTTTATTTTTCAGTGAAAGCCAGTCTTCAACAGATACAGCTTTATCTAGTGAAGCAACCACACCTACCCAGAATGCATTATCTGATTTACGAATAAAACAAGAACCACCAGATACAATAGAAAATGGTAAACTATAAACAATTTACAATAAATATTTAGGAGTGAAGTGTATGAAATTAACATAAACCCAAAGGAGACAATTTTATGGCTAATTTAAATCTGAACAGAAAATGACCATATCAGTTATCCTTAAGATAAGTTATTGATTTTGCCCACTCATCCCTCTGTCACACTTTTCGTTCCCAGATGATAAATAGAGAACTGCTTTTTGAAATTAAAAAGATGTTGAGGATAAAAAGATTTTTTTTTTACATATACACTGCCTTCGAAATATGGCAAAAAATATTACAACATTTCTATATATATATATAAAATTTCACAGTATGCTGCTACATAAAAATCATGATCTCTGAGTTGGCCTGGGTAGAGTATCTGGGATCACTAGATCACCACGCTAGTTTGTTTAGCAACGTCTTTCAGATTCATAAGGGCAGATTAATGACAGGTGCTGGTTTGCTTGATCATTATATATATAACTATAACACATTTAATTACTACACATTGTGTTCTGAAAAAAAAAATAAAAATAGACAATGAAGGCTGACCTTGAAATGTTGTTTGCGCAAAAATTTTGCAGAACCAAATCTATGTTAAAAGCTCATTATAATAAGTTTGTTTATCTTTTTTGTCATAATTTCGTAAGATTTTTCCGTCCAAACATAAAAGACGTCAAGTTAAAGTAACATTTATCCACAAACAATTATGAATTTTTTTGTTTCAAAGTTTGAAAAAAATGTTCACCTTTGGATATCAAAAACAGGATTGCCTGCCAAAAGATGAAACCGATGTCTTTGTCGTTCCAGTGGACGGGTCTTCTTCATTTATGATCAAATTGAGAAGTGTTATTTTCATGCAATGTGTTTACAATTTCATTTCACATGTTTTCGTGCTTGAAGCTCATTATTCACCATGTTGATCAAAAGCAATGTGTAGCTGGTTTTTTTTTTTGTTGTTCATGAAATGACCATTTATTTCCCTGTTTGTCCGTGGACATACCCCCCATTTCACAAACTTTTATGACAGTGGCATGCATTGTATGTTAAAAACAGCCGACATTAATGTTTAGAACTAAACGTGTAAGAAATGATGACAAGAAGCATAAAAAAAATATTGTTAGCAAGTTGAAACATATATTTATTCTGTACATATTTATGTCTTGTAAGATAATTTTATTCTTTTTTTTCTGACCGACTGACCTGATGTTTTCACATAAAAAATCTGAAAACCAACAAATTAAAAAACCTTGCCTTGTTCATGTTTTAATTTCTTTCAGAAATACAAAGTAATTAAATACATTATCTTTGTTAAATTACTATCTTCCATACAGGGTTCAGTTGTAATATTTTATGATCTCTAATTTTTAAGGAATTTTTTCAGGTTTTCCAAATAGCTCTTCATTACCAAATAGTACAGAAACTTCACCTAGAAAGAAACCTAGAAAACAACTTTTGTAAGTTTTTTGATATTACAGTTCATATCAAAATAAAAAAAAAAAACTTTATATAATTTTTTTTTTTATTGTATTTTAAGAGAAAATCCAAATTTGAGTCATTTATTACTGTCCAGTGATACATAATTATGTAAAAACAAAAATTTCATTTAATTCAAACTTTTGTAATCCAGCGTTGATATGTCTAAAACTACAAAAACTGTTATTTTTGGAACTAATGGTATAGTCCCTGTGATATTAATTCTATAATTTTGAAGCCTTAGTAACTAGAACACTCCCAAAGCTAGAATAAAGGAGTAGGTTTGATAAGACCCTAAAATGGCCCCTATTTCTAGCTACAATTTCAAATTAGGATTTATTGACCTATATCACAATGAATCAAACTTATACAATGACTAGATAGGAAATATGTCTTTTTGATGAAAATTTATGTACTTGCCTTCTATTCATGAAGTCACAAATAGCACTTGTTTTGATTTTCCACTAAAATTCAATTAAAACGTAAATTTCAATCGATTTTTTAGACAGAAACCATATAGCGCATGCGTCAACAAAAAATGCCTTTAACATAATGTTTGTTAAAACATTTTATATATAACTTGAATAATTAGTTTGTCTACGTCTGTGCTCTATGTTTCCTAGGCCTATTTTGTCAAACTTTTCAAAAATCTGTATTTTTGGCCTATTTTGGATGTAAAAATCAATGCTTTAAAATAAGATATTGACAAAAATAGTTCTAATTAACTTTCTTACATGTCTTTTCATCAACCTTAAACATTATTTAATCTTGAAACATTTAACTTAATAATCGGGGCCAAATATAGTCCTTACCAAACTTACTCCTTAAATGGTCTTCTGTTTTCAAAATCCGTGGTTTACTTTACCTTTGCATTGTAGGTTTGTTAGATATTTTAGCCAATTTATATCCATACTCTTTGAAGATTTACACATATCATTACATTTCATTTTCTTACAATGTAAATAGACATGTGAATGAAGAATTAAAAGACAGTTCAACATCAGAAGATGATGACTTTGAAGAAGATAAAATAGACATCAAAGATGAAGATATAGAATTCAGAGATGGTAATTATCATTTGTTTTTGTCTAAAATAAGAAAGTCCTTTACTCCATTTTATTATGAACTGGCATGTAATTATTTTCCATAGAAATGTTAAACATGATAAATAGTTATGTTGTCTGTTCTATGGTCGGGTTGTTGTCTCTTTGACACATTCCCCATTTCCATTCTCAATTTTATTATAAACAACAGACAATTAATTGATTGGTTGATTATTGTGTGATTTTATGTTCAGAGGCAAGAATTTTATGCATGTTCAGGATAAGAATAAGAACAAGTCGACAACAAATACAAAAGGAAGCTTCTGCAAGGAAGGGGTCAACTGGGATGAAAGGCAGGAAGTTATTACTGCTACTGGAAAATTATTGGAAAGGGACATAAATTTTGCCTTGCAACAGGCCACCTACAAACCCCTCAGACTGTTCTTTAAAGGTTTCTTTAACATGTGCAAAAAGTGTGGCAAACAACATACACATATATCAATATGTAGAGATAGGAAATGTATTTCCATTTTAACAGTTTTGTTTCAGCAGTAACATAAAAAATCATGATAGATACCAAATTAGAATTGAAAAGATGTCTGATATATTGCTCTTGACTTCAGACAAAAATTTTGAGGTTTTGATCCAATTTGTGTATGATTCAATCAAAATTCTAATTGCAATTTAGAATAAGGAAATGTATGGTAGTATGATTGCCATTTGGACAACTATCCACCATAGACCAAATGACGTTGATGTTAGCAACTCAAGTTCGCCTTATGGCCTTCAACAATGAGCAAAGCCCATGCTGCATAGCAAGCTAGTAAAGGCTGTGGCATGACAAAATGTGCAGTAATTCAAATGAGAAAACCAACGACCTGATCTATGCTAAAACAATAAATGAAAATCAAATATGGCAGATAGCAAGTATGATTATAATATAAACAAGTTTTTATAAGGGAAATTATAATTGATCGTTTATGTTTTTATTTGAATTTTTTCAGAATATGTGGATGACGAAGGTGTCCGGTGGACGTTGGAAAAAAATAGACCAAATATTTCTTTATTGAACTTTTATAATTTTACGTGGAAGTCTCGGAATAATCATTTCCAAAGATATACTGATGTTAAACCAAAAGGTAAATCATGTTTAAATAAATGAACTGTAAGTAGCCAACAGAATAAGAGAAATACAATTGATTTACATAAATAGATATCAGTGAAATGTAAGGATTGGTGATTGTAATACAAATTCATTTAGCTATTTCCTTTGTGGTTATACATTTGATAATAGATATCAATATCAATTATATTATCAGCAATTTGAATAGAAATATTATCTAAAATTATATCAAGACTAAAATTGATCAGATTGTTAAATTGCCTTGAACTTAAAAATCCAACCATTTCAATGACAACAAACTAATATTGGTTGACAAGAAAAAATTAATTGTTAGCCCTTCAGATCAACAAGACATGTCTCATGATATTAAGTATGCTGTAACAAATTGATACCAAATTTTACATAATGTATTTTGATGATTTTCAAAGTAGTCTTTGTTGTTGTTGGACTTTAATCCAAAAAAGGCAATTTTTCATGTCTACTGATAACTCAAGTTTACTTTAAAGGAATCACATGAAATATTTTCGTCAAAACGTATTAAACTCAGCATATTTTACAATTTGAAAATTTTCAAATCAAACCGTGTCAAAAACTAGGCATAATAAATAACAATAACTCAAGTATGCTTCATAAATTTAATTAAATCATGGTTCAATGAACATAGAAATATGATACCCATGCAGGTCATGATGTCCTATGGATCAAATTGTAACCTGATACTTGTTGATTTTAAGATCAGTTAATTCCATTGGTAGATAATGACTTAACCAACTAGGATTGTGCAAAAGAAAATTATATAAATTGATACTAGAATTTGTTTTATCTTTTTCAGATGAAAGGCGACCTACTGTAAATGAGCTATCAAATCAAAGAGCGGTGACGCAAAAGGCCAGTGGGTGGAAGTTATATCATATGGCTGCACAGATGGAAGATCTGGTAAAGATATTTTTTGGAAAGACTGGAACAATTGTTTCTATGTCATTGGGTCAAAAAAAAAAAAAAGATAAGATACAACAAATATCAAGCTGCAACCAAATATTAAATCATTCCCTTTCATAGAAGCCACAAAAACTTAGATGAAAATTTTCTTTTGTACGGCCAGATGGACACAGTTGAGGGGTTACAAAACCTGCTTGTGCTTTGGTGACGCAGGTAAAAATTTCAAACCTAAAAGCTAATAGAGCCTAATAATTGAAATTTGTTAAATTGAATAGCGAAAAACATAAAAATAATGAAACTCCAAAACCAATAGCTAAATCAGCTATAAAAAGTTTGAGATAAATGAAGCCAAGTAAGTTTTGAAAAGTTTTGATACACGTGACAAAGACTAATTCCAGAGACCAAAATCAAAATATGTCTTAAAAAGTCTTGAAATCTGGGAACATGCAAATTCAAAACCAAAAGCCAAAAAACTTTTAAAAAGTTTGGAAGTCTGGAAAAAATTTCAAGAAGTTTATGAGCGAAGATAGCAAAACCAAAAGCTGAAACCTGCTTCAACTCTCTCATGCAAAGTTGACCTTAGATGCATTTCGCTATTTTTTTTAATTTCCTTTTTGGTCATATAGCTCAACGGTTTTGGTACTTATACATCCTTGGCTTTCAAATATTCGGCTTTGAGCGTTCCTGATGAGGGTAAAACCAGAAAAGAGCTTCAGTTGTATGAAATTTATAACGTATTGTTTTCATTTTTTACTATCTAATACTAAACAACACAGTTGTGGTGAACATAATTTTTCAATAAATACAAATGGGTCCGAGCGGGTTTACATGGGTGTTTACAAAGTGTGGGTATTTTGTCTCTCACATTTGTTTAGCACAGCCAAATGCAATTGTTAATTTATATAAACAACATGTTAAAAATACAGTACTTTATTATCATAACACAAATAAATATACAATCACTTTATTCACACATTAATACCCATGCAATAGGTATAAATGTACAATCCACCGTTTCTATAATTTGACTATCACAATAAATTTGAAATAGGGACATGTCGTTCTATAAATATGGCGATGTGTAGTTTGATCTGAGCGTCACTGATAAATTTGAAATAGGGACATGTCGTTCTATAAATATGACGATGTGTAGTTTGATCTGAGCGTCACTGATGAGTCTTATGTAGATGAAACGCGCGTCTGGCGTATAAAAATTATAAGCCTGGTACCTTTGATAACTAATTAAAGTATTTAGTGCGGGATTCAAATTAAAAAGTGTGATGCAATACTTTTTACCTACTAAAAAATTATAATATTACTTCAGCTTCCAAATAACTCTGTTGTCTTTTTAATTTGATAACCCAATTTCAAAACACAGCTTCAACAACTTGAAATTAATGTAAACAACACTTGGGCGGAAGTTGACCTCAGCAATGATAAAGTGAAAGTACGGAAAAATACATGACTTAATGTTGCTGAATATGTACTTTCCCAACACTCGTATACAAATTTCTTTACAAAGCACCTTGGATTTTATGAATTTTGAGTTCTTACAATTATGATACTAAGGCAATCTTATTTACATCTTTAAGAATTCTTCTTTTTCAGACAGGATTAGAAAAAACATTACACCAGAAAGTGCTATCACTGCAAGAGTCAATAGCTCCACAACCAGTCAGGCAACATGCACCAGAGGATGACTCAGGACTCTTACATGAATTAACTCAGGTGAGACAAAAACTAAAATTTCATTCAAAATTTACTGAAGTAATCTGTTGTCATATGTGTGCTTTATAGTGATAAAATCTTTTAGGTATTTATTCATTTCATCTTAACATTCTAGAATGAAACACTTCTGATGATTGACATTTGATATAAGCAGTTTTAAAACAAAGGTTGTCTCTACAGCTTACCCATTGTTTAGTGGTACCACTCTTAAAAGTATTTCACTTTTTTTCAGGCAAACTTACAGAGAAGCAAATTAATAGCTGATCAGTTAGACGAAGCAAAGACTTCAATGTTAAAAGTGCTGGACCATAAAACCAAAATATTTGAGATTATAAACAAACATATGAGTAAACGACCAATCAAAAAGAAAGAGAGATCATAGCAATAGTTTTATACTAGTGTTTTTATATTAGATATACACATTGTGTTCATATGTTGTTAGTAGACAATGAGAGGTTAATGGAAAGCAGACGACAGTTTCAATTGTTTACAACAGGTTATTTGATGGAAGAATAATTACAGAATGGATTTCATTTATCAGATCTATAGCTTATATGATCTTCTTTATTATGTAAACCTGTTATTGCATCAGAACTGAACATGTAATGAGAAATAAATTTGTGTATTCAATAAAGAAGGAGATGTTTTACAGAAGCAGTATCACATTATAGTAATGTGACAACATTTGTTTGTATCATGTGACAGGTCTACCTTTACTATCTTCCAGTCGCTTGATGCCATATACTTTTATTTGTTTGTTGATGTTTTTATTTAGTGCAACATCAGTGCTATTACAGATGACCGGTGTTTAGAGATTGGATGGCAATGTGTTTATTTTACAAGCTGAAACAGAAGTATTATGAAAGAAAATGTCATTCAGTCTTCTCAGTATTGCTAGACCTACTTATACAAAAATAAGCTTGAACTCCAAAGTTAGAATAAATGTTCTTTACAGTACAGTATGAAATGACCAGTCATATTACAAGCAACTCAGTTTGTCAGAACTATATTGTTTTTTTCTCACCTCCTATGATAGTCGCGAAAAGTGAGACATAGGGATTACTTTTCAGGCGACGCCACCCAATTGTTAAGTTTTCTGCTTAAGTTAGTTTGATAGGAACTACTTGTGATAGATCATTGATATTTGATACAAAGTTGCATTACTATCAGTAAATATCAATTTGATGACTATGTCAAGGCCCTGCCTAATAAGTCATGTTCCTGCAACCTTGAATTAATTGTTCATCAGTTTGTCTTTTTCTGAATTTTATGCCGACAGGCGAGACATCTCTGTGTCCACAGTTTATTAAATAAGTAACTTTACCATGTCATGATAAAAAATTAATAGTCACCGGATCTTAATGAATAAAGCAATTTCATGGAAAACCCAAATCAAATTTGGAAGGCTTTTTATTTTGCACAACAAATAACAGCTTATTTAAATTCAACAAAAGCATTTGATAACAAAATAGGATGTATTTGTATTGTCTTGTAACACTGTATTGATAGTAGGTTAGCATTTACAGATGGTTATTTTTATATGCATTATGTTGCAATTGTTATCTGATGAAAATTAGATAAAGAACAATGAAATTTTACAATATTTGTTATTGTTTTATATCTTTAAACACCAAATATCTTCTAGCTATTGCCTAATCAAATTTGTGGGGCAGGAGTTTACTCACAATTCTAGTTTTTAATTTCTCTTGGTTTTCATACCAAAAAGCAATCATGCCGGTCAAGAGTGACACATATGGATCACTTCTGTTGTTCTCAGCATTGTCCACTTCAGTTTGTTAATCTGCAACCCTTTAAAACTGAGTGACAGAATTAAGAAAAGATTGCGCAGGTTCTTCTGCAGAACATGAAGTTGTGTACCCTCTATTTTTAGCCAAGTTGTCACAGAATCAAACTTGGCTAATAAAATGATGAATGTCATCTGGACCATCAGTTTCCTGCCTAAATCTTTTGAGCCATAAAGAATATATTTAACAAAACAAAGCTGGATATTGCTCCATTGGGTGAGGAAACCCCTATTGATTTTTGGTCAAAAGGTCTGTCAGGTTCCCTTATGTTTAATTTTGAACCATATGTCCAACTTTAACTAATCTTGGATTGTCTATACCCATGGGACAGAGAAAATCCCTATTCAGTATTGATTTCAGGGTCAATATGTCAAAGGTAAATTAATAGAAGCTATTGATAGAATGAAATTTGATTTTGGGGTCCACGTGGTATGTTTTGAACCATAGGTCCACAATTTACTTGATAATGCTCCATGACTTTACAAAGATCCCTTTTAATTTTGAGGTCACTTAGTCCTAGATATAAGTTTTTAAAATGGCTTGACAGTATTCTCCATACTTTCAGAGGCTTTTTCTATGAGATAGAAGATGTACAACTGATCATTTGATTTTTGATCTTAGTGATATTGAGGGTTTCCATTAAATATTTATAATTTGTTTTTATGCTAGACACTTGGTTACAGCCCAGTAGTATGCACATATGTATTGCATATGGAGTGGAGTTACATTCATGGATCTGTGGGTACACTCCTTATTTGGTTAACAAATAAACAGTAGTGTTCCTACTCTTTAAGTTTCTCTTTTCTGCCAGACAATCTGCAAATTTTACCACTGACAACTGAAGTTATATATTGAAAGTAAAGATTAACATTCTAATCATTATTTGTACTTTTATGATGCTTCATTGTCTGGACAGTAATACAAATTTAATGATTTACCACATGCAAATGAATTTTCCAGGGTCTCTTTAGGAGGAACTAAATCTTAAATTGTAAAGTAACAAAAAGTGTCCCTTGATTATTCTTATGGTGTATCTATAAATTCTAGATGACACAAACCTTTATTTATCAACCAAGGAAATATTATCTTCTAAACTTTAAGGGAAGTATGGATAGATCATCCATATGTTTTAAAAAAGTGAACAATACTAAAACAAGGAATACTGTCAGATTGCGATAATTTAATTATTCTATATCGCCATGCTATGGGCTTTTTTTCATCCAACAAGTTGATGCATATAAGATTATTTAAAAGAAAAGCTTGGACTCTGTAAATAACTAATGTTTACCAGACTATTTATTTTATTTGAATAACTTGTTTGCAAACTGGTGTTTCCTTGTGAAAAGTACAACTTGATTGGGGAAATTTCTCGAAGTTTAGGATATTTAATGAAGAATGGCAAACAAAGTAAATGTGTTTTCTTCTTAGTTATAAATAACCAGCAATCTGGTGTCAACAAATAAATTATCTTTAATAGAGACATTATTATTAATGACAATAGACTAAAAACAAATATGAGATAGCATTTTGTGAAAGTGTTAAGTAATTAACTGACCAAAAAAATTAATAGCTGAATACAGATGATTTCTATTTCTGAATAGTGAATTTCCCTTTTTTGAGCAGTTGTATACCATCAGTGTATACCTACCTGGTTTCACGGAAAGATTTCATATATGTTAATGTTGTGAACCTGCTACTATGGAATTGTTTGAGGAATTTTTCCCTTTTTATGCCCCATTTATGGGCATTATGTTTTTCGGTCTGTTCATCCTTTCATCCGTCTGTCCGTCTGTCCCGCTTCAGGTTAAAGTTTTTGGTCATGGTAGTTTTTGATGAAGTTGAAGTCCAATCAAATTGAAACTTAGTACACATGTTCCCTATGATATGATCTTTCTAATTGTAATGCCAAATTAGAGTTTTGACCCCAATTTCACAGTCCACTGAACATAGAAAATGATAGTGCGAGTGGGGCATCCATGTACTATGGACACATTCTTGTTTCCAGACTAAAATAAGGAGATTTGATATGATTGCCAATGATCTACCAAAGGCAGGACAAGGATGTAAACAATCCACCAGAGACAAATGGCAGGACAAGGATGTAAGTAATACACTGAAGACCAAAGGCATGACAAGGATGTAAACAATCCACAGGAGACCAAAGGCAGGACAAGGATGTGAACAATTCACAGGAGACCAAAGGCAAGACAAGGATGTAAGTAATCCACAGGAGACCAAAGGCAGAACAAGGATGTAAACAATCCACAAGAGACCAAAGGCAGGACAAGGATGTAAGTAATCCACAGGAGACCAAAGGCAGGACAAGGATGTAAACAATCCACAAGAGACCAAAGGCAGGACAAGGATGTAAGTAATCCACAGGAGACCAAAGGCAGGACAAAGATGTAAACAATCCACAAGAGACCAAAGGCAGGACAAGAATGTAAGTAATCCACAGGAGACCAAAGGCAGGACAAGGATGTGAACAATTCACAGGAGACCAAAGGCAAGACAAGGATGTAAACAATCCACCAGAGACCAAACGCAGGACAAGGATTTGAACAATTCACAGGAGACCAAAGGCAAAACAAGGATGTGAACAATTCACAGGAGACCAAAGGCAAAACAAGGATGTAAGTAATCCACATGAGACCAAAGGCAGAACAAGGATGTAAACAATCCACAAGAGACCAAAGGCAGGACAAGGATGTGAACAATCCACAGGAGACCAAAGGCAGGACAAGGATGTAAGCAATCCACCAAAGACCAAAGGCAAGACAAGGATGTAAGCAATCCACAGGAGACCAAAGGCAGAACAAGGATGTAAACTATTCACAGGAGACCAAAGGTAAGACAATGATGTAAGCAATCCACAGGAGACCAAAGGCTGGACAAGGATGTAGGTTATCCACAGGAGACCAAAGGCAGGACAAGGATGTAAACAATTCACAGGAGACCAAAGGCAGGACAAGGAGGTAAGTAATCCACAGGAGACCAAAGGCAAGACAAGGATGTAAGAAATCCACAGGAGACCAAAGGCTGGACAAGGATGTAAGTAATCCACAGGAGACCAAAGGCAGGACAAGGATTAAAGCAATCCAAAGGCAAGACAAGGATGTAAGCAATCCACAGGAGACCAAAGGCAGGACAAGGATGTAAGAATCCACAGGAGACCAAAGGCAGGACAAGGATGTAAGCAATCCACCAGAGACCAAAGGCAGGACAAGAATGTAAACAACCCACCAGAGACCATTGGCAGGACAAGGATGTTAGCAATACACCAGAGACCAAAGGCAGGACAAGGATGTAAACAATCTATAGCAATAGGTCAACTATATTTGGTGTATGGAATGATTATAAGGTGTACATGCCTGTCTGGCAGAGTTCATCTGACCTTGACCTCATTTTCATGGTCCAGTAGTAAATTTAAAGTTTTCATGGTTATGTTTGTTTTTGAGATACCGTAAGCAATATGTCAACGATATTTGGTGTATGGAATGATTGCATGGTATACATGCCTGTCTAACATGGTTCATCTGACCTTGACCTCATTTTCATGGTTCATTGGTAAATGTTAAAATTTCGTATTTAGGACCTGTTGGTCGATAAGATAGTGTGGAAGTGTAGTGTATAGAGTGGAAAAGTTAACTGTCAACCAAATTGATAGGACCATTAAAAGTACATTATATACCTAAAACCTCCACAACAATTTATTCCATTATTTTCATATGCTTAATATTAAGTTTTCTTAAATGGTAGTCTGGAAGCTATAGTTCAAAGGTCAGAAATACAAAATAAAACATAAAAAAGGATACTTGCTATAAGTCTATGCCACATTTACATTGAAACTTTTGAATAGTTTGAAATTGTCCATATGGCACGTTCACACACGCTTTGGGGTATGGCTTCCTTCCTTCCTTCCTTTCTTTTTAAAATTCGTTAGTATTTAACAAAAAAGTATTAACAAAAATACCGAACTCCAAGGTAAATCAATAAAAATGACAAAATCAAACGTTAGATTATATCAAACAACGGAACGAATGGGAAAACAACTGTCATATAACTGACTTTGTAATGGTGGGTTAAACCTGTTTTATCGCTAACTAAACCCTCCACTTGTATAACAATTGTCTATAGATCCGTTGTATTGACAAACGAAAGGGTAACCCAAACATAATTGGTTAACGTGAAAATAATTGGGATCCAGAAGCCAAAACTGTGTAATTTAAACATACATCACAGACACAACTGACTAAAAAAAACAAACAAACATCCAAATAAATCCGACTACTCACTAAGACGCCAACAAAAAGTTTTTGTTGTTGATAGTACATACAGTTTAGTGAACCATAATGAAATACCAGTATACACTTTCCCGATAAAGTACATATTAAATAAATCATAAATCAAGAGTAAACAAAATGAAAACAATTAACAAAAACCTCATGCGTCTAAATCGCACCTCTGGTTTTTTGCTCAGATACCGATGATGTTTTACAAAGTCTGAGTAGCAGCTGCAAGCTCTTGGATATCGTATGAGTTGAGAAAAGTATACTCCATACGTGAGTGAAGTTAGAATATTGTGAGAAAAATTTATAATTGAAATCGTCTTGTTTGTCATAGATTATGGTACTCAAATGACCACTGAAGTCCAATTTGCGGTATATATCTAAAAAGGGGAGGATGGAGCTGTAACTGTGGTTTCTTTAATCTCTAGTTCAGGAGGATATATTAATGGGACCCAATCAGAAAAGTTTGAATTTTTAATGGAAAAAACATCATCAAAATACATGAAC